TCAACTAAGTGCAAAAATTTGGTGTTTGTTTAATGCGTTAGATAAAAAATATAGAAAATTATTTTTAGTTCATCTCTACAAAGTTCTGATTTATGTGAATGTAGCACAATTTGGTTTAAATTATTCTAAGAGACTGAATATTCCTATCGGACAATTGGACATCTTTATACTGGGAAAATATTTTTTTCTTTTTCTGATACATTAGTCAATCTCGATATTTTTCACATCTTTTTATGAAAAAGTGTTTGCTGAAACTCAAATGGTAAATTAAATTATTAAAATTAAAGTATGGAATATATAGCCAGACATTAGTTTAGAGAGCTGAACAACAAAATGTCATTAGTACATAAATTTTTTGGTTTTCTTCCGCTGTTTTGCAAACTTTTGTGGCCCACCTTGTGCGAGTTTCCCGGCAGAAATGAAAATTGTTGCTTCTTCTGTGTGTGTTTCTTGCGTTTGCAGAGGTGTGCACGCGTATGTGTATTTATACAGGTGTTTCTGTCTGGGAGTGTGTTGGTATATGTGCTGGTGGCAAGGTGAAGCGCTCTGGCGGCAGAGCCATTCAAATTTAAATACAAATGTTGCACGTGCCCTCGAAGGTGTTTCTGTACAATCCTCCCGAAGTGCTATATCTGCACGTGTGTCTGTCTGTTTGTGCGGTGGTGGGTGGGCTCATTTCGGTGATTGCGCGGCTATGGTTTAATAAAGCAGCACCAAGACGACGTAGAGGAGGACAATTATGTGGAATTTCATGAAGAAACGGCAGCCATTCCGGAGAGTTCGTATAATAAAGCAACTTACGGGCATAATTGGCAACCGCAGCCAGATATAAAAAAGTGGGAGTACAAAAAACATAGCATAAGTAAAATGCGTTCAAAAACTTAAAAATGAAATGAAGTGTAAAGCGAAAGCGGCGACATTGCCCGCATAAAATCCAAACTTGGCCAGGTTTTGCAGGTGTAAGCGAGAGTGTATTTAATTGTTGCCGGTGTGTTTGTTTAGCTTAATTAAAATGCCCATCGCAAACACCAAAGTGTGCTTCGCCCAGGCCACAAAAATGAAGTATATATATATATATACCATTACTCCCACAAATAAATATTTATATGTTTTTTCCAGCCGCATTCCTATCTTCTTTAGTGCCTCTAAATTGCCTGGAGCGGCCCACGTGATAGGTCCTTATGGGAAGTCAACGGCCTGAGAGTGCTCCCAATCGTCATGGAACTTTTGAAAGTTTAATACGTATTTGCTTTAAATTTAAATTAAAATATAATAAGGCTTTATACCTTTAAAGTGACCTATTTAATCTGCTCTTCACATCTGTCTTTTTGTATGTGCAAAGCTTGTTTTTATTCAAATACCTAGGCGATGTATGATCCCAGTCTTTATTAATTTAACTTAGCTTCTAAATATCACATTAACAACACCAAGCTATTGAGTTAGAAGAAATGCGTAGTTAAACAGTAATATTACTCACACCATTGAAATCTAATTATACGGATGTAAATGCATTTAATTTGTTGTGTCAAGAGTGTTACTGTTTTGATAATGCTTTGCTAATATATAATATATATAATATATAAGCGACTCTGATTATTACAAATGTCTAAATATATATTCCGCTCTTTTTTATTCAAGGGTAATGCAAATAGATTGCGAAATGTTATGTTTCTATACGTCTAGAAATGTGATATCGCAATATATTTATCATTGAGCAATAATTAAGGCTATTAAAAACTTTAAATTTTTATTGCTAGAAAGTCCAATTCCTTGTCATTTTTGTAGAATTCCTACACAACTATGGAGCAACTCACGACTCTGGAGCATCTCTATCCTACCACCTGCTGCTGCCTGTCCTGGCTCCCGTTGACAGCATCGCTTCCTTTGGTGTTGCTGTTTATGTTGCCGCTGCTGTTTACCCGGTTCTTACAAAGCAAAAAGCAATTTGGTCTGCCAGCGAGCGGGCTTTGGGCCGGCTTTTCTTTGACAGCCTTTTGTGCTGTCTGTCTGCTGGATGTCCTGCTCCTTCTGTATCTTCCCTTCGCCACAAACAAGCCATTTTATGCTGTGTCCGTTGCTGTTGTTGTTGCACCGCGCTGTTGACACCCCGCTGGCTTGCCACTTCAATTTCCCAACGACAGCAGCACCAAGAGCAGCAAAAAAGTTACCCAGATACTCTCACCTGCCTAATGGTCTGTGCTGGATGTTATAACCGGACATTGCCGACCATAACTCTAATGGACACGGGACGAGGCAGGGGACGGAATTCCCTTTTCATTCATTTTTTTAGTACATAATCTAAGCTATTAAAATTCAGTGCTGAGGATGACAGTGCGTATACGTAATGCGGCGAGATTGTCCAAAATTGGGTATTCAAAAGGGCGGCCAGTAATTGCCGGGCTTTGCCGCAAACGAAAATTGGGAGAAAAAAAATAGGGTACCTTTTTTTAGTTTTGAGGAATTTTGTGAGCCAGAATTTTAAATTTAGCCCCTCTGTTGCCAAGTTAATCCTTTTGTCTACACTGGAATTTCTTAAGATTAAGCTTCCTCAGAGGCCGCAGAAACCGCATTCATCATCCATCATCCATCATCGGACAGCTGAACCATTCGCTCCATAAACTACATAGCATTCTGCTAATGATTGTGTGCCAGAAGTCTTCGCCTCATCCTTAACCATGGTGAAAAACGTTTTGCTGGCGGCGAGCGTTTCACACCAACTCAGAAAACATAATATTTTTGAAGCGTGTGTGCGTGCCGGCGGCCTTGGTGGAAAACTTGTTTCGAACATAGCATAGTTTTCAGCGCTGCGAGACGCACCCAAAGTCGCACATTAATTAAAGCGGCGAACAAACACGAGGCGGGACGTCGGACTCAGGGCCATCAATCAAAATGACAAAATAAAATGCTTGTTCGCCCGCTTGAAGGGCGGTGCTCTGCAGATAATAATGTGCATTGACAAAGCCTCGTCAAGTATGCAAAGGCATTCGGATTCGACTGTTTGCAGCTGTCGAAAATGAAGAGACCATAAAATGTTGTAGCAGGCAGGGACAAGGCGAATGAAATTTATTGCCCTGTTGTGATAAACGTGACGCGCCATGCCAAGGGCCACGCCCTCCGAAAGGAGCAGGACATTTTACAAGTGCCTGTTACATTTGATTTGTGTGTGTGTCCGCCAGGAAAAAGGAGGCATTTTCGGCATGCGAACAGCTGACAACAGGTTAATGCGAACCAAGCGGCTGCGGGAAGTGGCTTTTTGTATTATTAGGCCAGATTGATGATCTCTAATGGCTGAACTTGGGCACAAGTTGCTCAAATTAAGTTGTTAGTCAAAATTGCACAAACTAAGATAAATATCTACTCAGAAATTAGTTAAGGTCTTGCCAAATTTTTGACTCATAAATTTCTGTTTGTATATCGTATTTTCTTATTAAATTTCTCATTTCAAATGTTACATTCCCAACCTTTTTCCTAAACAATTTAGGCATGGAAATCTAATTGTAAATTGGAATGCGAAATCGAATTGAATTACCAAAAATATTTGAATCTTACAGGAATTCTAAATTGAAAGTTTAAAATATTAATTTTTGGTTTTTGTTTTGTTGAAAAGCAGAATTTAATTGAATTACCTTAATTTATACGGAATTCAAAAGGAATTTTGAATTAGCAAATTTAAATTCTATTTCATTTTCCTTAAATCGGCAGTGGATACTTAGGTAGCTCCTTTTATTATTTATATCTACCTGGAGGTTGAAGCCAAAGCCAAAGTTCAAATGCAAGTAAAAGCCCTAACCGGATAACTGATAACCTAGAAAAGCTGACAGGACAGAGGAAAAAGTTTATGTTCAAGGTTCAATCAACTTTGCCGGAATATTTGCTGAAATTCATGTCCAACCTGGCGTATGCTCGACATTGGCCCTCACCATGTTTCATTTCGTCCACCCGCCGCGTCCCGCCAATCGCTTTAGTAGCTTGTTTTGACATTTTTCCTTCTCGCTTTTTTCGGCTTTGTTTTCCCCATTTTTCGGACCGCGTTTTTGCCCTGGATTTTCATACCTTTGCGCCTTTTTGCAGCTGGTGCCCAAAATAAGCCTAAGAGGTAGAACATTTACGCGAAAAAAGGAAAATTGCGCGAGTGCTCCACCAACTGCATTTGCATTCTTTTTTCATGATTTTTTGTTATATTTTGGTGGTTCTTTTTCCATTGCGCTGCCAAAGCCAAAAAAGCCAGTTGGCTAGTTTGAAGGCTTAGATAAGGACTCTTGGAAATTAATGCGCGATTTCTGTCTCTCAATGGGCATCTGTTTTTGGCAGCCAACTTAACTTTACGATAAAGATCAGTTTGTCTGTGTGCTTATATTTAACCTCACGTTTTTGGGAAAGAAAACGCATAAAGAGAAAACAAATTATCACGGACATACGGGGCGTATGCTTTACGTGAATGTGGCTCCTCTTTCAAGCGGCCATAATCGTAAAATAAAAATTTCGTGCACAGGAGCAGAAGGTGACCAGGACTTTGGCTTAGCATACCCCAATTCCATTGAGCATATTAGTTAGAAATTCCAATACCTTGTTAATGGAAAAACAAAAGACTTTTCCATTTTTAAAAGCTAAATATTAGCTCTCTGTCGAGCTTAACCTCCCTCGACAAAGCCCCCGATAATATCCTGCGGCAAAAAGCCATTGAAGAATGGTCAAAGTTCAAAGAGCGCGGAATTCGATGGGAAATGAAAATAAATATAAAATTAACAGCAAAAGTAGAGGGAGGTTCACGCGCAGGTCGGCATGCAAACGCGTTTAAATAAGAAATTCAATTTGGTGGAGCGGAAACAGGCAAAGGGAAAAAAGGCATGCCGCAAAATTTCGGTCGGTGAAAAATGTGTGTCTGTGAGTGAGTGGAAGTCTGAACTGGGGGCAACGTTTTAAAGTGTTTCGCTTTAATGGAGGAATTCCCCTGTTCGGGTTACAGCCATCAGAAATAACGGGCCTTTCTCAGGACTCACCACAATGCGCCTGACACGTGTCATTTTGCGGTAATCGCCCAGCTTGAGGCCTGGCAGCCGAACAATTTCCCGGGACTTGGATGAAGTGCGCGGCAAGGAAATCAAGACCGGCGGCAGGAGCAAAAGTTTTTATGCCCTTCTGATTGCCGCCTGTCAGTTGCAGTTTGTATCTCACAATTAGCGACGGCAAATGCTAAACTTCAGCACAGCAGGACACTTTCGAGTTTCTCTCCAAAAACCACAACACTTAGCTAACCGAACTTTATTTTTGAATCACGGTTAGAGTTTCACCTGCGAAAAGTTCATTGCAATTTGTAAATGTCCTTTATTGGATATAAACGTTATCCTAGGAGAATTTTTGAGATTTTCGACTTCTTCTTTGCTCGTTTGTATTTTTTCACTGCGTTCCTTTGGGTTCACTGCTGCGCCAAAAGCCTCAAATGAAACTGAACGCTGCCTGAGATTAGCAGGCAGATGAAATACCCCTGGAAATTCGTGTGGCCAGGCCAAGAGCAACACTAAAACTGCGGCAAAGAGCGCAACTGCTGCTCTCCGTCTCTCTTGGCCGTCTCTCGTGCTCTCGGCGCCACTCTCACGCGGCACCCACTGCGTATACGTAACGTCACGACACAAACCAGCTGCGGTTACAGTGGTATCAGAAGTGGCTAGAAATATAAATATTTTTCCTGCCCTTACTTAGCTGTAAAAGAAAACAAATCGGTTATGCGAGAAAGTTATAAACGTTATGTCACTTAGTTAAAAGTAAATAATATTTTATTTCAACAAATCCTGAAGTATACAAAAAAATTGTGCATCTTTGGTATGCCCATTTTAAAAACTGTGTTCCCTTTTCAACGAACCTCAGCCCACTGCTTACATATTTTCAGGACGTATATCAATTTCTGCCAGTGTATGAGAAATGACAAGAGAGGGGTTTTTCTTTAACGTGGAGAACGCGTTCAGAGAGTGCTCCCTTTTTGCTAAATAAAAGTTTTATTTTCCCAAACAAATTGAAGAAGCAAGAAAGTAAGGCACGCGGGCAGCCTGGAACATGGAGTTCGGGAGCGGGAGAGCGGAAAGGATTTGGCTGGAGTGGAAGTTTTGCTGGAAGAGGGGGAGGGGGAGGGGGCGGAGGATAAGTGTGAGCGCTTGCTTATCTGTTTGTTTTGTTATATTTTCTGTGTATTTCACCGTTTCTTTGTGTGTTCTTGGAGCAGAGCGAAACAGGCTAAAGTCAAAAAATTCAAAAATCAAGCACTGCAAACTTGTTGATGAAAAGCCCGGGTCTGTGTGTGTGTGTGAGAGCGGAAAACTCTCAGCTCCTCTTTAAAACCAGGAGAGATAGTTTCCGTGTGGATGTGTGCGTCTTCGTGTGGGCTTGGCTTTGGTTCAGCGCAGTAAGGTGGGCTATTTACATATGCCAAGAAACAACATGTTGATTTTACACGTGTTCAACTGGGGCACACAAATGCACATGTTCACTATCCAAGCGAAGGATTGCTTTTGCTGCTGTCTAGGAACTCCTCACGTGTGTAATTCAAAAGCGTAATTAAATAACTGCACGCTAATTGCAATTAAATTGCATAACGAGGGAGGGCGGAGATCAGAATCAGCAAATGATTGCTCTTTGCCCCATTTTTTGTTACCGGAAATTGTTTTTCCCCTTTTCCGCAATGGGAGCACGGATTTGATCGTTTTAGGGTTGCTTTCAGGAGTCAGGACTAATTTTACACATTTTGCCTGTTGGGAACGATTGAGCTAAAGAGTTTCCAAAAGTTTAGGGGAATTTTTTGAGTTAAGTTGGGGCAAAGTAACACAGAATTGTGAGACTAACTAACTTGAGACAGCTGCAAAGAAGTTAGCTTATTTTTTCCAAGCGGCTTTCCACACACCAAAAAATATATTAAAGCGTCCTATCCGGCCCGTTCCGACTTATAAATTACCTACAATAGACAGAAGACCTTCAGGAAAGTCTTCTTTACTTCGTTGCAAACTTTTGACTAAAATTATAAAACCCTCAGCAAGGACATACACTTTTTTACAAAACTTTTTGTTATGGTATAAATAAACTGTAATATTCAAAATTTTACTAATAATATATTTAAAGTTTGCTGTACAAAAACTTTACTAAAATTTCAAATTGAATTTCTAAGCCTATTAACAATCTTTAAAATAAGAGAAAGTTAGAATATTGAAAGAAATACTATAAGCTTAAGCTTCCAAAATCGATTTTTTAGAGGACTTTTTTGGGAAGGAAAGGAATATTCAATTGAAACGAAACTTTCAGGATTTATTGTTATATATTTTAATAGTCTCCTCAAACTTTTTCATTAAATTATATGTCAAATTATGCCTGGTACAAGCATTTTACCTAGGCGCCTCGAGTGTGTATGTGTCGATCAGAAAAAAAAATCCAAAAAATGTCATTTTTTTAATAGTTTAGCTTCTAGTTAAGGTTTTATAGGATCAACTAGAAGAGAATTTAAAACCGAATCCAATAATCTCGTTTCGAATTTTTCCCCCTTAAGGTGATTCAAACCAAAGCCACAACAGTATATTCCGGCATCGATTAAGCCTCAAATAAAATTCTGCGTGTTTTCAGTGCTTTATTCATTTTTGTTTTTTTTCTTTTTAACTTGAAAGTTACCCGCAATAATATTGCTGCTGCCCTGGCTGTTTTGCTGTTGTCTTTTGCTTGGACCGACAGTTCCGGTGAAGGAGCCGCCGTAGCGTGTCCAAGTGGCCCGGAAGGGGATTTCCCAGTCCTTTCTGCCACGTGTAATCCTTTCTGCCATATGACCCCGTCGCCATTCCGACGCCCCTCCTTGGCCATTGTTTTGCCTACAACCTTCCTCACATTCTTTTGGTATTTTTAGGCTTCCTTTTTCCATCTGCTCCATTGTTGGGATTCTTGTTTTGTTTGGGCTTTGATTACTTTAAGTTTTGGTTTTCGAATGATTGGCACAGCTCTGAGGAGGCGGCATTGATAGGACTTTGATGAAAACGATATGGGGGGGATTTCAACTGGGATAGTGGGGCTGGAAATTTGCATTTCAACTGGGCTCAGTCTGGAAATCCGATCAACTGCCTGGTTTGGCGAATAATTCATTTCATAACTACAAATTTGGTTTAATTGGCGGAGTTGAGCCGTGAATTGTGGTTGCCCATTCAATTTTAATATTATACTAGATTAGATTCGCCTTTGAAATGTGCATAATAGTTTGGCATAATTTCATAGCGTAGCCACAGAAACTCTGATGCAACTGCATTCGCATGGCCTCAATGATTTGTGCGCAAATGAATCATTGATAAAAGCGGCTTTATGGGGAATGCTTAACGCCATCATCAATTCCCAAAGCACTCGAATGTGTCGTGCAAGCCAAACAACTGTACAATCAACGAAGCAATTACACCCTTTGAAATGGTTTAACATTTGACTATTTTAGTTTGATGCATTAAAATGTCAAAATAGGACCAAGGGTTAAATTCATCAAGGTTTTAATTATTTTTAGCAATGTGCATCAGTGGATTATTATTTTGTTACGGTACTTAAAAAATATTTATTGATAGATTTGACCTTCGTTTGTGTTACTGAAAAGTTGCAGAATAACGTACTATGTTATGCTTTAAATATAACAACTTTAAGCTTACAGTTTGTAAATAAATAAATATTATTACAATTTAAATTGCTTAAATTTCAGTTAATACTTCATTTTAAATGGGATAGAGGTTATTATAAATTGGTTTGAATTTAGAAACGAAGTGGAAATTTCATTTCCGACCCTATTTCCGAACCTATTAGTCATACATTTTTTCAGTTGATTCAGTTGGTGCTTTATGCTTAGTTAGACTGAAATATCATTTTAAATAATTCAAAATAATGACTAGAAATCATGTAACAAATCAGCAAACATAAATTTTGTTTTGTATAGATGGAACCCAGAACCTTTGCCTTCTTTTCCTCGAAAGTTCTTATTCGAGTTTGAGACAAATATGTCGCGCTTAAAATGCTTTCCTTCAATTTAAAAAAAAATTATTATCAAATTCAAAATGTAAGTAACCCTTTTCTTATTTAGATACCAATTAAGTTCACATTTCCCCTTTTAGAGAATTTGTGATCAAATTTATTTCTATTTTCAAAGTGATTTAAAGAATAAAAGTGCTTCGCTTCGGGCATTTCGTTTTCCATCGCGTTTTTCGTTTTTATTACCAAGCTGCAGCACTATTTGCTGACAATTAACATTTTATGCGTCCTATTTTTTCCCGCTTTTATTTCGCCCATTCCAGAACTGACTAACTGCCTAATCAAGAGTTAATCCAGCGGGTCCTCGCCTCTCTCCTTTTGCCAGTGAGGTCATAGTTTTGGCTCTGGACCGACGCATAATAATTAGCTACCAGTGTAATTTGCCTCAATTTATGCGCATACATTCAGTAAAGGACTATGCGCTACGAGCTTTGTTTGTTAAATTTATGCAGAGCATTCTGCGATTATAAATGCTTAAACGATGGAAAAACTCGATGCAATTGTTTGACCAGAATTAGGCATCCGGTCTTAATTGTGGCCGAGGACAATGGATGGACAGGATGGATCTATATCTATATAGAATCTGCTTCTCCTTTTAAAATGACTCGGAAAATGACAACTTGTGTTAAGTGAATGTGGTCTTTCTATTTGCCATTTCAATTGCAAATTAACTTTGCAGTCCAATGTCTGACAATGCCAAGCTCTTTCCCAACATGTGTGCATATAAATGTATATTTGTGCAAAAAAATATATATATACACCACATGGTTGCCACAAAAATAAACCCAACTGCTGCTGCTGTCGAGTGAAAATTGCAATGTTCTTTGCTTCGCTTCCTCCTCCGGAAAATATTTGTTCCCCAACTCCGCAAGTTATTTCAAATTAAAGCTTTTTTGTTTATAGTATTGTGAGGACAGAGCCAAAAGGTAGTTAAATAGGTGTACAAGCAAAATACATTTTTAACAAATTAAACTTTAAATGCCTTTATTTTTAGATTTTCCCACCTTCAGCCAGTTTCCACCTTGATAAATGGAACAAAACAACATAATCCCTGAATTTGAAGCCCTATGCCGGACTAACCGGCTCGAATTCAATGCAAATTGCTTCTGGCAGGGCTTACAGAAATTAAGGGGATTTTTGAACTATGCAAGTTCCTTCACTACACAACAGTTATTTATGTTTGTACGTGCATCAATGTTGCTGCAGCTGCCGCAGCCTGCAACCATTGTGGGAGGCCAAACAAGCCACTGAGTCTTGAAAGTGGGGTGGGAAAGCAAATTTACATAAAGACATAAGCCAGAAAGCCAGGAAACGTGGTCGAGTCACGTTTATTGGCCACAGGCTGGTCACACAAGCAGCACAAATCATGCAAAATTAAATTCAAGAACAGAGGCAAAGGC